ACTCGGTTGGCTTCCCATTTAGCATGCTGGCTTTAGCTGGAAAGCATCTGAGCTTCCCCTTTAAAGAAGAGGTAAGAGCTATGTTTGGCATGGATCTTCCAAAAGTGACGCTGGGGTAGAAAGACAAGGGGAAGACTATCCTGCAAGTCACCACAGAGATCATATCAGCCAGCAAAGATGCTGACTCCAGGGAGAAATCTTTTTGCAACCCATCATTTCTACCACCCCATGCAGGACAATGCACCGTCCTGCATCTGCACAGTGAAAAGCTTTCTGCTTTGCCTGCAGCAGGTATCGCAGAATCACAGAATAGTAGGGGTTGGAAGGGACCTCCGGAAATCGTCTAGGCCAACACCCCTGCTAAAGCAGGTTCACCTAGAGCAGGTTGCACAGGATCACGTCCAGGTGGGTTTTGATTATCTCCAGAGAAGGAAAGTCCACAACGTCTCTGGGCAGCCTGTTCCAGTGCTGTGCCACCCTCAAAGCAAAGTTGTTTTTCTTCATGTTCAGACAGGCTTTCCTGTGTTTCAGTTTGTGCCCATTGCCCCTTGTCCTGTTGCTGGGCACCACTGAAAAGAGTCTGGCCCCATCCTCTTGACACCTGACATTTAGATATTTGTAAGCATTGATGAGATCCCCTCTCAGTCTTCTCTTCTCCAGGCTAAACAGACCCAGGTCTCTCAGCCTTTCCTCATAAGAGAGGTACTCCAGTCCCTCGTTCATCTTTGTAGCCCTCCACTGGACTCTCTCCAGTAGTTACTTGTCTTTCTTGAACTGGGGAGACCAGAACTGGACACAGTACTCCAGATGTGGCCTCACCAGGGCAGAGCAGAGTTGGAGGATAACATACCTCAACCTGCTGGCTACACTTCTTTAATGCACCCCAGAATACCATTGGCCTTCTTGGCCACAAGGTCATAATGCTGGCTCATGGTCATCCTGTTGTCCACCAGGACTCCCAGGTTCCTCTCTGCAGAGCTGCTTTCCTGCAGGTCAACCCCTAATCTGTACTGGCGCATGGGGTTATTCCTCCCCAGGTGCAGGACCCTACGCTTGCCTTTGTTGAATTTCATGAGGTTTCTCTCCACCCAACTCTCTAGTCTGTCCAGGTCTCACTGAATGGCACCACAGCTTTCTGGTGTGTCAGCCACTTCTCCCAGTTTTGTGTCATCAGCAAACTTGCTGAGGTTACACTCTGTCCCCTTATCCAGGTCATTGGTGAATATATTGAACACGACTGGACCCAGTACTGACCCCTGGGGAACACAGATATCTACAGGTCTCCAAGTGGACTCTGTGCCACTGATCACAACCCTCTGAGCTCTGCCATGCAGCCAGTTCTCAATCCACCTCACTGTCCATTCATCTAACCCACACTTCCTAAGCTTTCCTAGGAGGATGCTAGGGGAGACTGTGTCAAAAGCCTTGCTGAAGTCGGGGTAGACAACATCCACTGCTCTCCACCCCACCCCACAACCTGCTGTACTAGGTAACACCCAAAAGAGCTAGAATTTCTGTCTCTCTTTTAGGGTTTACACCATTGCTGGCAAGCGGATCAGAGCCAGAGATAACAAACAAGCAAGGCAACCAGCTTTAATGTTTTCTGCTTGGTTCTCACCCTTCCTTCACACTACAACACCCCAGCTGTGAACTTTTACCCCTGAACGTGTTCCAGATTGTGAGCCTCTACAGCAGACAAGTCATAGGCAGTAAATCCACTTTTCAGACAATGGTGTCTATTGAGCTATTCCCCTCGGTGCTTCACTGCAAGTCACTTTCTGTCCACCTGCTGCTTTTCTGTCCATTCAATTGTGTGTATTGGTAGCAGTAGCATGCTACTCACCTGTGGGAAGGAGAGAAAGGGGAAGCATCTTAAAAAGAGGGACACCATGAGATGTGGTGAGAAGACCCAAGGATGCCTCCATATGCCTCATCAGCCTATTTTGGAGAAATACTGGATTTGCCAGCATTTCCTGCGAGCTGAAAGAAATCCAGCCCTCTGACAACAAGCAAAAGTAAGTAACAGACAAGTAAAATGTTTGGGTTTGGATGAAGGCTCAGGGCTGTTTTCTACTATTTCTGCCCCTGCTTACACTGGAGCAAGGGGTACTGCGGACAGGAGCCAGGGCAGAGCTCCTTTGTACAACACATGAACAGCGCGATCTTGTTACCTGATGCCTTTAGCCGCTCCAGGGAATCGCAGCCGGGGCAGGTCCCTCTCGCTACTGGAGCCCCAGCTCTTGGATCTATTTAAAAATAAATCCTGGCACCACCTGCACGGGGCTAAACTCTATTGTTGCAACCTCGATGCACAGTGAAATCAGCTCATTTTAAAATTTAACTTGCTGATATAACAAATAGCGGGATACTGACCTGGGTAGATATACAATAAGAAAAATCCCAAGTGACACTTCTTGTTTTAACAGTAAACCTCTCTGCCTTTTGCAGTAACACCCCAAATTGGCACCAGAAGGTCCTACAGCTAAACACAGACAAAGATCTCTTGTGAGTGAGCAACATAAAATGAAGGCATGGCCGGTCACCCTCCCTCACAACATCCCTTCCCCTTCCATACACACCCAAAATGCATGTATTTGTCTGCTGCTAGTTTAGTCATTACAGATTAAAAAAAGACAGCAAGTCGAAGACTGGTTGAGCCAGTAGTAGAGCTTTGTTAATTCATGCCAGGCAGCAGCAATGGGAACAGCTCGGTGCTCAGCCTTGCTGACTGCTTTTAGAATAAACCAAAGCTATCGTTCCAGTGAGGAGGTTACCACAGATCCCTGCCATAAAAGGAGTAGATTGCTCTTAAAATCTAACTGATGCAGATGACAAATATAAGAATGACTAAATAAGAAACAGCTCGCTTGGCTGATTTCCTATGCTGGCCCCTACTGCTACTGAAAAAAATTCGTCTTAACAACGCAAAGAAAAATAAAAACCAGCTGAGTATCTTAGATGGCTAGTTCTCACATTCCCATTCAAAGACAGTCTATTTTGCTCTTGGCTCTGCTCTTTGTATGAAACCGGCCCTGTGGTACCAAACTGGGGATGAGGGACAAGTGTGGATTTAGGGCTGCTAAACCTTCAGCTTGAAAACCACACTCAAAAACCCAGAATTTGCACCTCGCTAAATAGCAGACTGTTATTCAAGTAGAGAAAATTTAAATAGTGCCTTCCATAAACTGGTGCCCAACTAATGGCAAACTGATGTATGCTAGCAGACCAAGTCTAGTCTTAGTGTAATTAAAATGGAATCAGATCTAGTTCTTCAGAGCCAAGGTATAGCTAACAAGCCTGCTTTAGAAACCAATCAAATGCATAATAAAGCAGCAGCCTCCAATGTGTGGAGGGTACAACACGTCACATTATTTTTCCGTAGGAAAAAGATGTTGGAGCAAGAGGTGGAAGGAGATGAGCAACATTTTGAACTTTCAGATAAGCGCTTGGCTCTCCCCCACAGATAATCCCCTCTTTGGGGACATCTGAAGTGATCAGAAAGAGTGGATGTTCTTAAAAACTAAGGGAACCTTACAGTCTAGAGATATGTTAAGTATTTCCCAACTCCTTTGAAAAAGGGAAACAAAGGCAACTCACTTCCAACTCCTCTGTCTTTCATTTCAGACATACACGTCCAAACAAAGGCACAGTTTGCTACACATGAGTTTAAAGGTTAAGGTTTATTGGAAAAATACTTTATCTTTGATAGCATTGCATATTTTACACATTCAGTTAAAATGCTGTTTATCGCTTTCATTCAAATTCATGATTTATTGATAAGTTCTTCATGCAATCTTTGTAGTTAACATACGTGTACACACAGACTGGGTACCTGTAGTGGCAGGGCATCTTACTGAGAGGCAGAGAGCCTGTTCAGGAAATACTACCTGTCTGTGCTGGAAAGTCACAGAAGCGATGCCATGGTTTTACAGCTTCAGCAGATGTCCTGAGTTCCCTCTTTTCCCATGGGGGATTTGAGGGGGACAGAAATCCAAAAGTCATCAGCTAAAGAGCCACAAATCAAGCCTCAAAATCATGAACAGTTTCACTGGCATCTGCCTATACTCTAAATGATGCGCTGTTATTTCTTCCACTGCCAACATATACAGATTGAAGAACTCTAACCAGATCACTTGTTTTAAATGGCTGAAGGGACAGTTCAGTTTATGGAGGAATCCCTGAGATGACACATAGCATCGAGCTCCTTTTGAATAAGGAGGAAAACTGGCACAGGATGGTAAGTTTTAAATTTCTTGGACTACAAAGCTCTCACAATGTCTCACAATGACTACAAGTGTCTCACAATGTAAAAGACAACATCTACTGTGCCATGCTTTGAAGGGGTTTATAGAAGAGTTCAAATTAAAAGAATATATAGGTAGATCAAGTCTATTTTCTTGGGGGAAGGGGGAAGGCACTGGAGTAAAAATCCCTCATTAACCTTACTCAGTCCCTTTCAGAAGTACAAAATGGCATCAATAATTTGGAGAATCTAATCAGAGAAGGAGGTGAGGAGAGAGAGGAAACTGATAGCCGTGTGTAGGTATATCTTCTAACAAGGGACTGTGGAACTGATAACAGATGGTACCACTATGGACCACACAAAGCTGGCAGCCTCTGGTTGTCTTCCTTGGTTGGTGGTTGATCACAGTCTAGTGGTTCTTGATTGCATAGTTTGATATTTCCCCCAGTTTGCTCTTTAACATCCATCCATAGGAGTAGTGGCAAGCATCTCTACTCAGAAAGGTACCTAAAATCACTATCCATGGCTCCAGGGGAGTTGAAAGCGTCTTCATATCCACTGAAGAACACTTCCACATCAATATCAACTTTAAGAAAGTGCAATTGTACCCATCAGAGTTAGCCATGCAACACTCCAGCCTTCCATGGAAAAAGTAAAAATACATAGCCACTAATCATTCTGGCACTGGTTTGTGGTAAGACCTTGTGTGTTCCTTAAGCAAAGGCTCCTGCACCCTGAAGGATGAATCCAGTCATGATTACTCTACTTCTTCCTCATCCAGTGAAGTCAAAGCCTTCTCCTGGAACATAGAAAGAAAACTTACAATTATAAAAGCAATGAGGACTTTCATCCTAATTTCAAATCTTCTGAGGTCACCCAGTAGGTTTGCCAGTAGGATTTCCTGACCTTACATGCTATCTATTCCAATGGACACAGGCTATACAGCTGCTGAACTTTTCCATTCATTTCATGAAGCACAAAAGGACTAGGATCCTCCATTGCAAGTGCCTCCTGGCAAATTCAGGTAAATGAGCTACGAAGGGCAGCAGCTCAGCATCACTGCTGACAAAAGAGCACCTTGCACAACTGACTTTGAAAGAGGGATATGAAGATAAACAGACGCCTTGGCGTACAGGGAAAGTGGAAGCATACCACACCATAAGGGCAGACTCTATGAACTGCTGAACAACTATGCGGTCCCCAGAACCTGCCAACAGCAGACTTTTAGGGAGAAGTATAGGATTAGTGCAAACATGAAGTTTCCTGGTGTTTCTCCCAGCCTTCAGCTATCTGTGGTGGAGAAACTGGCTGTGCCTGGAATAGTGTTTTATACTTAATAACCCTCCATGAATGTCTCCTATTGATTTTTGGACCTATATAAATTAAAAGCTTGTGGCATAGAAGATCTCTTGTAGCAAGTAATTCTACAGCTGGAGCACACACTGTGTTAAAGAATATGCAGTCTGGTTTGGTTTGCATCTGGCCCATGTTAGTTCTGTGAAAGTGTGCTGCTTCAAGTTGCCTTAGGCTATGCACAATTCAAAGGAGGCAAAACGCATACCCAGCCACCCTGCTCCTGAATCCATGGCTTGAAGTGTTCTCTGAGGTACTTTGATCCAAAGCCCAAGACCAGGTTCATAGGATGGTTGTCCACAGCCGTAAGTCTGGTGGCAACTTCCATTGTAAAGGCAACTTTCGTGCATTGTACTTGGTGTCCTGGCTCACTTGTTGAAACTGCTGAGACATCCTCCAGGAACAAATCAGTGATCCTCTTGAAGAAGGTGTAGGACAGCATGTCTTTAAAATGGTGGTAGAAAACCCTGTCCTTTTTGATCTGAAAATAAGGATTGGTTAAATTGAGCCACTTTTGTTGGAATTGCGTTTCCCACTTATTGGGAAAGGAGTAATCTGATAGCATTTTATGACGAAGTGACTAGATGGGTGGATGAGGGGAGGGCAGTGGATGATGTCTACCTTGACTTTGGCAAGGCTTTCCACACTGTCTCCCACATCATCCTCACAGGCAAGCTTAGGAAGTGTGGGTTAGATGAATGGACAGTGAGGTGGATTGAGAACTGGCTGACAGATAGAGCTCAGAGGGTTGTGGTTAGTGGTGCAGAGTCTAGTTGGAGGTTAGTAACAAGTGGGGTCCCTCAGGGGTCAGTACTGGGTCTAGTCCTGTTCAACATATTCATTGATGACCCGGATGAAGGGATAGAGTGTACCATCAGCAAGTTTGCTGATGACACAAAACGGGGAGGAGTGGCTGACACGCCAGAAGGCTGTGCTGCTTTACAGCGAGACCTGGACAGGCTGGAGAGTTGGGCAGAGAGAAACCTTATGAAATGCAAC